TAGCCGATGTTTGAGACCATGTTCTGTACTAAAGTCTTCCATGTAGCGAAATGAATTCACCTAAGATGAATGGAAACTCCTCATTTCCTATACCAGTATCGTTCGGTAGAACTTTCTGCAATAATGGAAACATCTTTTATATGTGCCTGTTTAGTATGGGAACCATGAACTACGTGAACTACTGAGCATTGAAATGTGGCTGGTGTGGAGCCAGCCCCATAGCACAGTGGTTAAAGGAACCATTTCCAACATGGCTGATCAAAGCTCAAGTGCCAGCCCTGGCAGCTTGAAAAACATGCTGGAAACAACTATGTGCCCCAAATCTTGAAGGTACAGAGAGTAGAAGGGAAAGCGTTGCAGAAAGAGTTGCAGAATTGGGCCAGCTTATGGCATGGTGCCTAAGGTGACTGAATCTTACATGGTCGACTGCATGCATTGTGTCCTGAAACTGGCAGTTTGGAAAAGATGCTGGGTGCGTGTGAATGCATGCCCAAAATCCCAAGAGGAAAATGGAAGAGAAGGAATTGTACTTTGGCCATCCCCCCAGGGGGTGCTTTCTTACTTCCTGCCATCCTGAACCTTCCTCTCCTGCTGTTGTCATCTCTCTCTGGTGAGCACACATACCCCATGGCAAATTAAAAGCAAATAAATAAAGTGGAAGAAATAAAATAAAGGATTGGGACATGATCATGTCCCATTGTGGGGGTTGCTTTCCACCTCTCTCTGTCTCTTGTTCTCTGGTGAGCACAGGTGCCTTCTGGCAATTGGAAAAAGAAAATAAGAGAGAAATTGACCACCGAATAAATGAATTTATAACTTCATTTAATTTTAATTAATTTCAACTTAAGTAGCCACTTGGTGGCTAGTCACTTCCATATTAGTACAAATCTATTTGCAAATTAGGTATTCAAATATGTTTTCTTTTGCATACACACAATTTTAATTTGTTGCCAATATTTACACAAACCTGGACTGCTACTGTCACATGGCAACAATTTTCCAGAACACTAGCCACTGTACTTATATCTAGGAGCCCATGTTTCTTATATTATGTTTTCTCTACATTATGTGAATTTGAGATCCTTGATTTAGACTGAAGTGGGTAATATGCATGACTTTCATTGCTCCACTGGCTAGAAATGTAAAAGCACCCTGGAATAAAAGATGGTTTGGATCAGGTTTTAGGAAATTTGTGTTCATGCTGTGAATGCAGGGCCTGCTTCAGATTGGGATCCTTCCTCCAGAAGGATCCAAGAACCTCTGAGTGGTCAGAGTTTACTAGCTTGGAGCTCACTGGTGGCTGAACTCAGAAGCTGTAGCTGTAAAACATCAATGCTGCACATGCTGGAGGAAACTCAAGTATTAGGTAGATAAATGTGGGAAGCAAGTGATGGCTTGATGTCCATGGCTTATTTGATTCTGGATCTGGGAAGGTCTTAAACGACCACTGAGGCTGAAGTATGGAACTTTAAGAGGATCAAATTACAGCATAAAATGATCACTATTTTCGTAGAAAAATAAAGGTTTGGGCAACATGGCAAGCACAAAGAACTATAAAACTGGAATTCTCTCCAAGACCCTTCTGTTCCCATCAAGTATGGGGGCTATGATATCAAAACATTACAGAACTGAGATACAAACTCCTGCATAATGAAAACATTGGACTTACATTGAGGGTGGAAAGGGGCTCATACACAACATCCTGTGGAGTTGCTATTTTTTTGGTGAATTCTAATGGACACTGAAGATATCTGAAATTATACTCGATCTGTAGAAGATAGAATTAAAACAAATTAATCGGTCTAGTAAAGGCCCCAAAATTAGTTCTTGACAAATCTCACACATGAGTCTGCAATTCTGCTTAAAATTAAGTGATTCTAGTAAAGTTCAGTCATTATACCTAGAGAAAGAGAAAGTAAACTACTGCATAATAGTTACAAAAATTAAATTTCCTGGAAGTCTGTTATTTAATTGCCTTACAACTCATAGCCAAAGAAAAAGAATGAATTCTCAAAACATCACTTAGATCTTTTAGACTTTCATTCTTCAGGCAAAACTACCTTGGAAAATATTAAAGACTAGAAACAACCCTAAATCATGTTCTTAGAAACAAAGTATTAGGGAGAAACTGAGGACCTAAGGGATGAATTATCTTATACATAGATAATATAATAATACTGTAAATGAAACCAATGCTTACCATCCACAATAGCTTATATAACTATAGTAATACTATTTTAATATTTTCAATTATAATAAACTTTGAATTATTATGATAAAATGAACTTACATGGTAGTCTTCACAGGACTTGTCTTCTGTGGAATGCAACATGCAGAAATCTAGAAGTACCTTTGAGAGAGAAAAACAAGCTATTATTCAGGGGCAGAAGAATAGGTATAAGAAGGATTTTATCCCAATTCAAAAATAACACACAAGATATCCTTCTTCCCTTCCTTTGCTTCTTATACCTCAAGGATGAATTATAATTCATGTCATTCAGGAACAAAGTTTAATATACAAAATGTTACAAATATCCCTGATTGGCTTAGAAATTCCAGATTCAGGAAAATGCCATATGTTTGAGAATGAAATTCCATTTACTAAAGTTTAGATAAGAGAGATTCCATTAGTTTTGCCTAAGATTTGATGCCTTTATGAGCTTCTGGAGAATATACAGATTAAGTATTCTTTTGCTCAGTATCTTACAAGGACAGCTCATTGTGCTCATTGTTTCTGCAGAAATCTTTCATCCCAGCACTGAGGTATTTTCTGTGGTTTAGGTCACTTTTTCTGTGTTTTTCCAGCCTTGAGTACTGTGTTTACTTCTATACCTCATTTACCAAGTAACACTGAGAGAATGTGTGTTCTGAGGGAAATGGATAGGACAGTGGGACATAGATGTAATGAAAAATGGTTGGAGACCTTCTACATGCTTAACTCAGGGAAAGAACACATATGCAGTCATTAGAGTCACCCCTAGGATCTGTAGGGATAAATACTTTTGTGGGGTCCTTGTCTACATAAATTATTTGAGTTATCCTAAATCTACTGGCCTGAAATCATGATCTTAAGAAAAAGAGAGTGCTTGGTCAACCTGACCTTTTGGAACTACAGAGAACACTATTAGTGCATCCCAGAACTCCTAGGGCATCTGCTCAACCTCACCAGCAGGACTCGTGGGAAGAAGGTTGAACTATTCCCTGGAGTTGGGAGAGATGGACCTGGCTGGTCTCAGGTACCTTGTCTCAGGGTGACATAGACAGTTTGAAGGAAGGCTCTGTTGGTGGGTGAACGTCAGTATTGAGAGCCACAATGGCCATCATGACAAATAAATACTAGTCAATAGTATATGCGAGGAAGAACTAGAGGCAGTTCTAGTTGTTATAGCTTGAGAACTTTGTAATCATCAACATAAGCGAAATAAAGGATGAGCTGCCTTATGAGGGTGGGTGAGAGTTTGCAATAGCAACTTTTTAGCAACTGTAATTATTGAGAACAAAGTCTGAAATGGCTTTCAACTCTGAATATTTAGGTGTTCTTTAATGGGATTTAGGCATCTGAAAAATTTGCCTGTAGGTCATTTGTGCATTGGATGGCTCCAATTTCCATTAGATGTCATAAAGAAAGGAAGCATTTGGCATGATAAGCATATATTGAATACATATAAACAGTAAGTACTAGTAGTAGTATTATTGGTAACCACAAAAACAATAGAAAAAAAATGGAGGTTTGTATGTTACATGACAACCATTATCCTGAATACTTTTAATTAGGTCGAAATGACAACAATAAATCCTGACATATTTCATGTCAAGCATATTTTTATAAAGAGTTTTTTTCCTTTGTTTTGTTTTTGGAGAGCTTACTTTCATGCATTCAGGGAGGTATTCTACCATTTCCATGATTGGACACTTATTGCTTGAAGAATAATGACTAAAAACCTTAAGGCAGTCATCCCATCTGTAAAATAAATAAATAAATAAGAGAAACACAAGTCTTAATTCTGCACAACAGTTGAAATTTAATATTACACTTTTAGGAGAAACCTAAGTTTAAGTTTATTCATGTGATGCAACTATTACACGTTGGCTTCAATGGAATTAATATGTGAACACAATCATCAACCCATTGATAGGACACTTGTCCATTAATGGAAGTTAGGAATGTAGGCAAATTCCAAGATGGTTGTTATTGTCACTGTTCTGTCTCTTTCTCTAAATGCCTTTCAAAGAAGGCAGACCTGTATGTTCTTTTGCTTCCAGAGTCACGAAATGGTAAATACTTTCAGCACCAATCATGTTAGTTAGACATGTCCACATCCACATCCACATCAGCAATACAGTGCCATACCCATATTTAATAGTTATTTTATGTATACCTCAAGTAGTGAGTTAAACTACAAACTAAAATGTGTCAGGTACACTGATAAGCATAGACTCTTCCAGAACATTAGAGAGTTTGCCCCTTTCTTCATCATATCCAGCTGGATAGGATATGAAGGTGCTTATGACACCAAAAAGGAACTAAATCTACAACAGAAGCAAAGAAAGGTCTATTTATTAGGTTGTTGGGAAAGTCATGACACATTTTTACATAGAAAATTATCTCATGACTTTCCCGACAACCCAGTATTTCCAAGTTCCTGTCCATGTCATACGGTCTGATTCTAAAAAGTGAAAGAAAGGCGACAGGCCTGCATTTGAGTGGCAGGATCCTGATGCGATAGGGAATTGGATAAAGAGGATTATGGCTCTGTTAGAATCTCTTCTCCTTGCTCTCTTTCTCCTTCTCTCTCTTTCATCTACACACACATGGCCTCCACCATTAAAAAACAAAAAACCTCCTTGGGAACCAGCAGTTAGTGTAATGGCTATGTCACTGTACTCCCACATAGTCGACTGCGGTTCACGTCCCAGACCCGGTGGCTTAAAACTCATGCCGGGCGCATGTGCATGCGTGCCCAAGATCCCGAGAGGAGAATGGAGGAGAAGGGATTGTGGCCTGACCATACCCCTGGGGGGTGATTTCTCACTTTCTGTCTCTCTGTCTCTCTCTGTCTGGTGAGCGCATGCGCCCTATAGTGAAAACCTCTCAAAAAAAAAAAAAGTCCTTAAAAACCCACAGTCACAAAGCTCATACATTAAGGGAAATTCTACTACATGGCACTATAACTATAGGGAGTGACCAGATCTGAGCAACACTATAGTGACTGTGGAGACACAGTTCTTGTGCTGACATTGCATGGCTAGTGAAAACTTTAATATAATCTACTTTTCATCTGTTAACACCACAGGGAGGTGTTAGTTAAAGGAAACTGCTAGCCAGAGAAGGCCAGAGAAGATAAGAGGAAGCTTGTATAGAACCACAAGATGTCACAGGATCCAGATCTTCAGTCAATAACATCAGAAAACTGGCTTTGCATTCTGCTTCTCCCTCCCCCTTTTGCTGTATAAAAGAATAAACCCGGGAATGGCTCAGCACCATGGCTGCCTTTGTCAGAGGAGTCTGGACCACCCAATTCCTGCTTTTCTCTGTTTGTGTGTCTGTATTTTCTTGTGAAATTCACCATTGCTCCCACTCAAAATCACATTTACCCACGCAAATCATAGCAAATAACAACCTTGAGATTTACCTTGAGAATTTTTTTTTCTTTTTTTGGAGAGGTTTTGGTATAGGGCACCTGCACTTGCCAGACAGACAGAGAGAGACAGAGAGACAGAAAGCAAGAAGTCACCCCCCAGGGGGGATGGCCATGCTGCAATCCCTTCTCCTTCTCAGGATCTTGGACACATATGCACACGCACCCGGCGTGAGTTTAAGCCACCGGGTCCGGGACTTGAACCGCGATTGACTACGTGGGAGTCCAGCGACATAGCCATTATGCTAACTACTGGTCCCCCTTGAGGAATGTTTTTACCAACATCTAGTTTTGTCATCTATTGGCAAGAAAGTATTGAGTAATGCCAGGTAGGGCAGCACAATTTCTTTGACAACAATAATTCCCTATGCTACATGCCTGAATCCTTTGAGATTTACTTTCCATATTTTAAAATTGGGAACCAAAGAGCAGAGAGGTTAAGCAGTATGCTGTTGTCACTTAAAACATTTATTTAAAAAACTAGGTAAGTCAGTCCAGCTACGTGGTGCAAGAGGTGGGACCATTTTGCCATGCTGGAGCTACATGAAGGATGACGGTTTGGATCCTGGGTTGACCTGAAACATACCAAGCATGTGTACAACTGTGATCCTGACTGAGAGGAAGACTGAGATGTTATAGGAACCTGTTGAGTTTGACCACTTCCCTCATTATCCCCTCTCTTTTTCTCTCATTCTCTTGCTCTCTGTTTGCTAAAGGAAATAACATTTAAAAAATTTATATAAACAAGTGACACTTCTAAATGTTGACTAACAACTGAAACATACTCCTTTTTTCTTTCTTTCTTCTGGGGCTGGGAAAATTCACAACGCCAGGGTGTACTAAATGTTAGTTAGTGGACAGGAGGGCAGTGCACCTTTTGTTCCTGATGGCCGTAAGAACCACCTCCTTCCTCTTATTGTGAAGTGCAACATGCAAAAAAGAGGCCTGCTGCTTGTTCAGGACAATCTCAGCATCGTAGCTCAGAAGAAGTGCAACGGCTTTGGCGTGGCCTTCTCTTGCAGCAAAGTGAAGTGCTGTGTTCTTTTAGAAAAAAGAAAAGACATTAAAAATGTCATATTAGATAGCTTACTATCTAATTTCCAAAATACATAAAATTTAAGATTTGTGTTCAGAATCAAAGTAATGAGTTTATATGAAACATTCTCCTAAAAGGTATTCAAAAGTGAATACATCTCTCAATGGCTAGAAATAGAAGAAGAGCCTCAGGTCTGAATAAACCAGGAAATATGTCTCCCTCAAAAGAACACAGTAACTCTCCTCCATCTCTCAGGGGAAAAACAAAACAAAACCAAAAAACAGAGGAAGTTACTAAAATGTCAGAGAAAGAATTTAGAACATTCATGGTGACAAAATTCTATGAGTTAGAACAGAAAAGAGACAATGAACTACAGGAGCTTAGGAAGTCCTTCCACAACATGAAAGAAGAAATGGACACTCAAAGAGTCAGATGGAACAGTTAGAGATGAAATCTGTAATACAAGTAATCAAAAACTCTCCTGAAAGTGTTAAAAGTCGATTAGACCATGCTGAAGATTGAATTTCGAATGTAGAAGATAAAACCTCTGACCTAGACAAAAACACCAAAAAGATAGAGAAAATAACAAAAAACACAAGGATAATATACAAGAAATACTAGATTCCATTAGACAACAAAACATCAGAATAGTTGGTATCCCAGAAGGTGAAGAATCCAATAAGGGCATGGAAAATCTATTCCATGAAATCCTGGCAGAAAATTTCCCAAGTCTAGAGAGGCACTCAAACATCCAGACCCAAGAAATACAAAGGACCCCAAATAGAATCAACCCAAGAAGATCTTCCCCAAGGTACAGCTTAGCCAAACTGGCAAAGACCACAGATAAAGACAAGATACTAAAACTGGCAAGAGAGAAACAAGTGACTTAACAAAGGTCATCCCATCAGATTAACACCTGATCTCTCAATGGAAACAATGCAAGCAGAGAAAGAATGGGAAGACGTATTGAAAGTGTTAAGAGAGAAACAATTTCAGCTAAGATTATTATATCCTACAAG